CTGATTTCTTTATTTGGTACTGGAGAAGAGGCTGAAGATGAAAGTACAAATAGGCTCATAAGATGCAGTAGCCAGTCTCAACAAACAGCTTGCTCAAATACCATAAAACCTGGTCTGCCTTTCCCTGCTGCACAGAGCTGCCAGGGCAGTACCAGAGCACTCCAGAGCCATTTACTGTTGTGCTGCCACTGCACAGAAGAGCTCTGTGTAAGAGCACTAAAGGGTTCAACAGGACGTACCACCTATGGCGAGGTGTTAATGTGAAAAGACACCGTATTAGCAGAAATCGTGGTTGGGAAATACAACTGAAAACTTAGAGAACACAAAACAAGGAATGCATTTTCATCCATCAGGAGATTGGAGCTCCTTGGTTTGCTTTTTTGAAGAGCATAGAGAGACAATATAAACCAACACATATTTCAGGGAAGCTTAGGGTGTAGCTTCTCAGTTCAGGTCTTTTTCAAATATTTAACCAGAAAATGTTTCCAGATAAGATACCCTCAAAACAACAAGCAAGAATGGAAAAAATGAGACAAATGACACATAAACAGCTTTTAACAGAGCCTTTGGAAGAGTAGAGAGCATGGGGACATAGAAAAATACTCCTGAGAGACACCATCCTTAGAAATCAGGATTTACCACAGTGCAGTCCATAGCACTGTGCTGCACTGGCACAAACTGGGACTTTGCAAAGTCTAACTTCTGGTTCAAGGTGAGGCCCTGAAATCCTGCCACTCCTACAATCATCCTTGCAGCTCGGGCAGCGCAGTGTGTGCTCCCTGTGGGAACATAGGCTGTATGCTCAGCTGCAACCTTTAGTGCATGGTACACATGCAGCTCTGGCCACATTTCCAGCAGGTTTCCCAGAATAAGCCCTTGCTGTTTCTGGGTACACACATCCACATGTGGAAAAATCAGCATTTGTGCCATGCTACTATCTATGTGTGCTGCAATTTGCCCAGTTCCTCCAGTCAAACAAGCCTATTTTTGTAGAGCTGCTGAGAACACGGCCCTTAATTACCACCTTCGTCAGGGAGCGGGGTTATCTAGTGGATGAGGTTAGCAGCCTTGTTGCTTTGGGGATGACATGGTGGCCAACGGAACTCCAGTCAACAGTCCTGTTTTGAAACACATTTTGCACCCTCTCCAAAAGTAATAGTGCTTGGTTTAAGTTTATAGAAGAGTTTATCTCTTTTACTTTTGTAATCAGGGCTTTCTTGACTCTTCACATGAAACATTAAAAAAAAAAAGCAAGAAAGGCTTTTATATTGTGGTGTGATCATTGGGAACCCTTGGTGCTTCTATGGTATGAAAATGATGTATTTAGTTCTATAGAGATGGGAGAGAAAAGGACAGTATGCCTGAGACATGTCACTCCATCACAGGCATCCCCATGGGGAGCGGAACCAGACTGAGGAGATACAGCCCATCAGAGGAACCTGGTCAGGGCAAAGAAAGGGGGAGAGAGGGGTGAATATCAACCCTTTTCAAATTATGAATGTGTTTATGCATTGCCATGTCAGAGCATAACCCAACCTTCCCCCTGCCCCACCATTAAATGCATTTTGCTTTTGCACTGTTTTCCTTCCTTCTCCATTGCTTCCTCTTGGCCACCAAGTGACATGGTTATTTTTTTCTTAACTTGAACTGTCCTACTTGTGTCCCTGCACAAGAATGGCTCCACACGTCCTAGAAAAAAAATCAGCATTTTTGGTTTCACAGTTCTGGTTTTTTTTTTCCATTCTCTAACTTCTACAAATTGAAGTTTTGAAAGGTTAGACAGTGGAAAAAGGAATATTTGGAAAGAATATGTGAATATTGTACTTCCCCTGGCAAGCAGATGGAGGGAAAAGCTGAGGGGAGGTGGTGATGAGAGCTGGGAGTGGAAAAGAAAAAACAGACTGAAAGGAAAAAAAACAATTTTGAAAATTGTCAAGTGGAGACAAAACAAAACAAAACAATAATAATAAAAAAAAAATTAGTATTTTCACATTTCCTGAAATTTCTCATGAAATTGCTCTTTTGCCAAAAGTGAAACCTTCCCATGACATCCCTCCCTCTTGTCACAGTGTATTCCCATTGGAAAAAAAAATGTGTGCGTTGAGTCCAGGAAGAACAACATAATGCTGGAGTGCTGTGCCCAGGGAAGGAGGGGGTACAGGGGGAGCTGGGCTGCTGCTGTGCCCAGAGGAGAGCTGGCCAGCATAGCAGGCACACTGCTTGCCAGGTCAGTGGTGCTAGAGCCTGGGAGACCCACACTGGGGAACAGTCTGCAGTAACTACAGCTATAATTCAGGAGTACAATAGATCTCAGTGACTATATTCAACTGTACTCCATAATCAGTCTCTCACAGTGAGACTGGAGTTATTTACAGCCCAAAAGACATATTTACAAGGGCCTGCATCCCACAGCATCTTCAGCACTGATGTTAATAATGGGATAGAAAAGATGCTTACACATCTATAAACATAGCATGGGGCAGGCTGCTCCGTGCTGGATCACAAACAAATATATATTCTGAAAAAAAAGGTAGGATGGAAATTAAATGAGAACAAATTCAAAGTCCCACCTGTAGGGAAGAACAGGCCTTCATGTTTATGAGAGATAAGAAACTAGCTTGGTGTCAGCTGAGTAGGAAAGGATCTGAAGGTTTTAGTAGGTCACAACTTGACTGCAAATCAACATTGCTGAACCAGAAGTCAAATACCTTACTGTGACATACAAACAGGTTTGCTGCTGATAACACACGTGTAATTCTAGTCCGTGCAACACTGGCAAGATTTTAACTTGAGTTACTGCCTTCAGTTTTGAGTCAATTTAAGAAGGTCTTGAGCGTTCTAGAGGGAGTTTAGAGGAGACAAAATCTGGGTGAGCAAAGGCACAGAAACAGAACTTGCGTAGGAAGGTCAGAAGGGGGTCTGTTCTGCCTGGAGGAGAGAGGATGAATTCAAAGGAAATAAAGAAAAGCAGAAATATATTTTTCCCTGTTTCCTACTGTGGGTAGGACAAAAGTTATGTGTGCACGTTACAGTGAGGTAGATTCGGATGAAACCCAGCAGAGCTTTGGGTCAGTGGGAGCAAAGCACTACAGTTGCTGAATCAACTTTTCTTTAAGAGATTCGACAAGTACCTTGAGAAACAGCACAGGTATATCACCCAAGATAACGCCTTGTCAGTGCCCTTCCACCCAGTTTCCTGTGATTTTTATGACTGGTGCCATAACAGTCCAGCAAGTGATGATTTTTTAAAATATCTCCTGAAAGGTTTGGTGCTTTACGAAGATGGCCAAACCCTCTCTTTCTGCAAGCTTTTCCTACTGCCTTGTGCTTCCCGTGGTTTCAGTGAAAGGAGGGCTTGCTGACTGCAGCTCTTGGACCACATCAATGACTGCTCACAGTGAAACATTTCATTTACGTCCCAGCCACACTGGGAGGCTCTGGAGTGAGCAGCTATTTTTGAACCCACCATCCTGCCACACTGGAACATTTGCTCAGCAGTAGAAGGTGTGCTCGAAGAAATAATGACTGCCTTTTTATCCAAAGACTATTCTAGCTAATGTTTCAAGTTCACTAAAAAACATGTTTCTGTATATTAATATGGAAGGTATATTTAAGGCAAACCTCCCTCAAACTCTACTCAATAAGCAAAGAACACACAGCAATACTCCACTCTTGACATTTTTAAAAGCCCTCTGATAATCTTTTCTTCCTTTAACAATGGGGCCAATTTTTCCTTTCCTGGCTGCCAGCCTGCCGTTGCTTTTTCTTTTAGCACATCTTGAAATTACCTTGACCTCACCTTTAAGCTAAGCACACTCTTCTCCAGGACACTGAGCTCAGATGTGGTGGGAGGTGTTGCTGATGGAGGAATGAAAGATCAGACATTAGCGTAAGGGTGAGAACATTATCAGCAATCTGTTTTCTCTAATGAGGACCCAGCAACCCCCTGGAGTCACTATTAATATTGATCATGGGCTTTGCCTCTGCCTTGTCCCTTCTCAGGGCTGCAAATCTTTGATGCTTTCTGGCCATTGTTCTCCACGAAAGACAGACTGACTGGCGCACATGGGAGGGGAAAGCAAATGGACCAGGTTCAGTCTAAGAGACAGATGTTGACTGCTGCTGCCACACACTCATCCTCACCACACCAGAGGTAGCTGACTCTCACAGACGGAAAATAAGCAGTTTTCTCACTTAGAGGTTTAAAACTACCAGGGGAAAAAAGAGATCCTCCCCCTGCTAAAAATAGAAAAGTCATCTACCAAGAGGAGCCGAAAACTGTGAACATGTCTGTGCTGGAGGGGTCGCATTCCCAATTCATAGACACAGGGCTAGCACAGATCTCCACTCTCTCTTACTTCAGGGCAGGTCTGATACAGATTTGTCACTGCCCAGGGACACCCAGGTGATGGACCAGGAAATGGGCTTTCGGACCAGGAGCAAACAGCTGTGCTCTACTCATAGCTGCTTCAGTAAATCACTGAAATGAGGTCATGGGCTCAGCAGTAATCTCTGCCTCATCTAAAAAAAGAGAAAAAAATTTTGCTTCTGAAAAAAATAACATAGCCCTGAAGCTGGTGAAAGACTTCTCTGTCACCATCACTGTGAATGAAATCCTCTATTTATCTTTCTGACACTAAACACCACTGATTCAACCCTGTCAGCGCAGCTCAGTCCCACGCCAGCAAAGGCTTCTCTCTGGGGCAACAGTCTCCCCTGGCTCCATAGCTCCTGGCCTGACTTTTGGGCCACACATATACTTGAAAGGCAAATCAGATTCGAGTAGGCTGCTAATTGTAAATGCAATCCCCATTCTTAAATATCTCTAACTCATCCAAATATCTCAACTCATCCATGTATGCTAAAACAGAAAAGGACATTCAACCTAGATTAAAATGGGTCATGTATAAAAACAGATACCTGCTATGGCAAAAACTAGCCCTGACTTACTCCAAACAAGCAAGCTCTAAGCATGCCAGAAAGCTTGAAAAATGGCACATTTGTGAGGTATTGGCCAGAAAAGAGATCCAGACCATATTCAGTAGACTGAAGAAGGTTTGTAGGCCTGGAGAAAGAAGGCTCTGCATCCTGTTAGCAAACAGTCTGTGTGCCTCTGTGAGCACTCTCCTGAAGGTAATGACAACTCCCACCTTGCCAAGGCTCAGACAAACAGGTTTGGGTTTCTTTAACACCGTGTCCCTTCTGAAGAATACCCTAGGGACATTGCCTGCAGACACATTTTACAGTTGGGTCATGGCAGGGTGCTTCCTCACTGCCAAACACAGTAAAACATTAACTGAACATGCTAACAAAGCCCTACCTGCACCTTTTGCAGTAGGTGACTCACCCTCCATAGCGAGCCCCACGCGTTGCCCCAGGGCCCAGAGGCCTCTCTTCCGGCTCCTTGCAGCATGAGCGATGGCACCGTCTGAATTACAGATAATTTCGAATTGCAGAGGGAAGAAAAATATTTAGCAAAATTATCTAACTGAAGTTCAAAAATAGCCTGTTACCATCTGCTTGTGCTATTTTGAAGACCAGAAACCCCTCAAGTCTTTTTAGAGCTAGCTATACTGTTTGCAAACTCAGCCAAATTTTTCACAAAATCTCCAATTTTGCAGGCCTGATTTACCTCCAGAGTTTTTGGAAGCAGTTTTGCCTGCACACAAGCTGTACTCAGTCATACAGCTCTACTCCACATCTGCCACGCGTGCGTTAAAAGCCCAATCACATTCCTGTGAAAGCAAGTGCACAACATCAGGAAACTGCAGAAGAAGCTAAAATAAAACGTAAAACAAAGTGTAAAGTAAAATATAAAATACAAACCCCTCAAACACTACGGATTAATCCCCAACCCACTGTCCTGCTTCCTTCAGGCATCAGGAGATGGCTATTCTAACAGCCCAAGCTGCAAGGAAAACACCATGCCCCAGCTGTTACTTTTGCTAAAGCAGCTGGGAACTGCAGATAGCCTGAAAGTGTGTGGACATGACCTTCCTCATAAAACAGAAAACTTTGTGTCATTTGCACCCAGTTGAAATGTCAGCATGGAAGGGAGCACTGCTCTGAAACCCCTCCAGGCTTACAGCTCACCACCACAGGGATTGAGCCGAGCACCCAGCCGTGTAACGACATGCCGGGAAGTGAGCTTATCCAGCCACACATCATCACTTCTTAGGTCTAGCATTCAAATATCACTATTGACTGTTAATCTTATCAACAAATCCCAAGCAATCACCTTCCCACAACTGCAATTGAATCTCAAAGGTTATGCATTAGTGAGAGTGACTTGTATGGAAACGTTTAGCATTCAATACTGGTTACGTATCACTATCCAGTTTTCAGGAAAAAAGTAAAATATAAATAACAATGCTTTTAAATGGATTCTAACATCATCTCATTTGAACCTGACCCCTGCAACAGGGATGATGGCAGCACCTACCTGCTCTGCTCTTGAACTTGCCACCACAGCACTAAGCTAATGACTTCCACAGCCAGCGTACCAGGGAAAGACTGTTTCTCTTCAGCAGCTTTATGTGCATTGCCTTTCAGCCTCATTATGTAAGGTTAATTATCTCTGACTTGCTTCCTCTGTACAGGTTGGCAACATGCTCCCATTGCCTGCCCTGATGCTTTGCAGTCCTGACCCCTTTTCACACTTGCCTTCCAAGACAGGAACATGGAGGAGTCTCTTAGCATAGACCTTCATCACCTCTGGATACATCATCTGCCTTCACTAATGCTCACAGGTGGGCAAACCTGGAGGGAAACCTGGCCTGAAACAAAGCCTGAGACAACCCAATTTACCTCCAGGTTGAAGTGCTCCTGCAGGAATTACAGTCATGGAACTGCACACCCAGTTGTAGGTAAAAGCTGAAAGCAAGCTATTTGACAGCATTATTATAGTCTTGGAGTGAACTATTAGCTAATACTTAGGACTTCCTAGGGTTATTTCTTCACTGGAAAAATTGAGAATCCAATTAAGATGTGTCCCAGGTGCAATTCTGTGTATTTATAGTGACTGAGTACAAAGCCTAGTTTTGTCAAGTGTGGAAGAACACAAAAGAGCAGTTTTGCTCCCATTTGCCAAAGGTGTCATTTTCTATAGTAGCTTGTAGCTTTCTAAATGGAGGCTGCTGCCACCCTGTCTGCCCCCATCCTGGCTCCCTGGCTGGGCAGAGCTGCCCTCCTTCTCCAGGAGATGGAGGATCTGACCAGACTGCTAAAAGGTTGTGAAGAAGGTGGAAAGGATGCCAGGATGCCATATGAGTATCAGCTTCAGCTGTCCAAAGTTCCACTCCATTAGCAGGTCTGAGTTTCCAATGAACTCTCTCTCTGATGGACAGCAGTATTTCTTCTGCTTTCTTTCTCAACCACAAGAGGCTATGACTAATTAATCCTTCTGACCTTACGATTACAATCCCAAAGAAAAGCCCTGCCACTCACTGCTCCCCTTGATGAGGCTCCTGCTGACCTGGGCTTGACTTGTAAGGCCAGGCTTGCTGGTCATGTTGGCCAACAAATGACAGCCCCTGGCTGTGCCAGAATCTCAGAGGAGAAAGAGGTGCTCAACACATCTGTCACCCCTACCAGCCTGTGGATAGAGATCAAAGTCCTGCTTGACTGCAGCCATTATAAGAAGTCCTGCAGTGGGGTGTTTTTTCAGCTTCATTTTCCACATCTCCTTGGCAGGCCAATGCCCTGCTCTTTGCACCTGCCTCGCTACCGCTCAGGGAATTGGCTATCCGCAGCAACATGCTGGCTTGTTTTCTCCTCTGGCTGTCACAGTTAATTGGGAAAGCCAATAAAGTATAAGCACTTCAAATTAATTTTCTGAAGAGCCATTATTTAGCCTCTGTCACCACTGAATTTCATCTGAGTCTTATTTGGTCCCTTGCTAACGTAGGAGCAGAGTTTTGCCAGCTCCATCCTTGCCCTCCCTTGAAGGTCACTCATCAAGGTGATGAACATGAGCCCAGGAGGCACCCGCTCTTACCCCACTGTCCTGGCAGCGTGCTGTGCTTTGCTGCACTCACATCCTGACCATCCCATGGGCAGGGCTGTTCACCTGCCTTGATAGCCTCTGTGATGTGGGCTCTTTAGTCAGTGAAGGTCAGAAAAACATTATTCTGTGAATTGCCAGTTTGACATATTGTGCTGCTCCAAACAAAAGCATGCTGAGTTCAAGTTGACAGTTCCAGCTGAAAAGAGTACTTCAAAAAAAACCCTAAACCAGCATTTCTGGGGTAAAAAAAAGAAGAAAAAATTGTCTAAATGGAATTTTTAGTTTGAAAATTACTGTTTTTTTCTTGAAAAGAGGAAGCCAGCAGGTGAAGAACCACATGACCAGGCAGAAGTTTCCCTCCATCTCTCTCCATACCACGCAGTCTTTGCAGTACATTGCCCTACAGGAGGGACAGGGGAGAATCTGAGTCACCAATTCAAAAAATAACTAAAAAAAAAAAAAAAATCAAAAATTTACACAGCACTCAGTGTTCACGTGAAACGCCGACTTCCCTGAAAAAGCTTCACAGCTGGTTGTGACTACTGAAGTTCTTGATAAAGTTTCTCCTTCAGGCCAGGACAGAATTTGCCATCAAAGCTAGACAGCTGTGCAGCTGTGTGGCAAACCCACATTTAAGACACTGTTGGCAAGGAAAAGCTGTAACCAGAATATTACCTGGTATGCATTGAGCTGGTTTGTCTCACAGCTTTGCAAGCCCCTCTGTCTTTAGAGGACTTGATTTTATTTCAGAAGGAAATCATATTGCATCTGCATCTGCACCAGCACTGAACACAGAGGAAACACAATCGCACCACTCCCACTCACTGTCTGCTTTATGCACCAGGGAATTGGCTTAGCTCTCAGTCATCAGTACAGCATGCACCTTCTTATTGTTCATCATCATCTTCCCCTCTGCACCTCCAGCAGCCTTCAGAAATGACCGTCTCCCTGGAACCTCATCCTGTGCAATAAGCCTGGTCCCAACTCCTTGCTTCTGGGTGAGAAGGTGCCTCCATTTGGCTGTACTAATACACCAAAAGATTGCACTCAGCATCAAGGTCCTATTCATGAGTTACCACTGTCCCAGTGTCTACATCTGCAAGCTGTTAAGATTTTCTTTGCAAGCTAGTCAGAAAGTCCAATAGGACAAGGCAAAGCTTCAGAACTATCCTCCTAATGTGGTTGCCAACATGATTTCCAGTGAATAGTAAACTCAGAAAGGCAGCAGTCACCACCTCCAACCTGCAAACTGGAGCTTTAGAGAAAGCACTTCTGGAGAGGAGCTCTTTGGACATCCTTTGTGATGTGGAAGAAGGCTTTTACCACTGGTGTAGCTGCCAGTGACTGGGAGGTCTTTTGCCCATACTTCCTCATGTACTGAAATTTCTATTAGGATTTCAGTAGTTAGGCTGCAAGCCCTAGAGTGGCATCTGGGTTGTCCTGGGACATGTATGGGATATGTGGGATGCTTGGGAGGTAGCACTATTTCTCATGGAAAGGTTGCAGAAGAAGTCAGGTGGGAAGCAGGTTTCACATAGGGGGACCATGGGATTCCAAAAGGTTTTAGAGGATAAAGGGAAGGAGCAGGAGATGCTGACATTTGATTTCTAGCAGTAAAAGCACTGTAAATTGGATGTGTGCTCAACTTGGAGGTGCACTAGGACTCTGCATTCCTTTGCTTACTGCATGTTGAAACTTTAATTTTACTTTGTAGTACCTGATGAGGGTCTCTCATGGGAATTTGATCCATTCATACCACTTTGTTAAGAGGTAACTGGAAGCATTGATATATTTCTTGACCATCAGTCAAACTATGGTTGCAGTGGCCCTGTAAGGGAACAGTAGCAGGATAAGAGGATTGGAAAGCCACTTGAGAGAGTTCTTATGCAAGAAAGCCTCCTATATCAACCTTCAGGATGTCTAGAGACTGCAAATGAGAAAGAGGTGAGCCCACCTCCCAAGCAAATCAGCGTGTACCTTCAGCTTAGTGGGAACCAGTTGTGCAGCATGAATGAGATGCCAGAGCTGCTGCTTACCTGTGGCTGGTAAAGGTTGGAAAGAGGCAACAGCCTTCTCAGACCATGTGGTCTTGTTAAGTAAAGAAACTTGTAGAAAAAAAAAAAGAGGTTTTAGACGCCTTTTCTCTGCTACCTTGGAACTGACTACATTTCAGAGGGAGCAGGATTTAACTTCTCATGCATGGTAGGAAGAAAGCAAGCCTGGCTGCTGCTAGTGGTCAGGAGCCTGCAGTGAGGTTTCCCAACTGATCAGCAGGTTTAAAGGAAAGGAGTTTCTAGACAGGAAAGAGAAAAAAAATAGGCTCTTAAAAATGGAAGTATTCCAGCTTCCTGCTACAAGCTCTGGCCTGGCATGTGCAGGCTAGTGCCCTGCAGACTGCTCAGTGGCACTGTCATCATCCCACACCAGCCAGAATCTAATTGCACAGGGCTTGTTCAATTGTCCCAGCTGAGACCTCATCAATGGCCTGGCTGGGAGCTTGAACTGGAAGCCTCTTTCATTTCTTTCATCCAGGCTCTGTCCTCAGTGGAACAAGGAGGCCAGTTCCTAAGGACTGAGCACAGCTCATTTCACCCCAGTACAGCCTTTCCCCAGTGCTGGCAAGTGACTATGGGTGAGATGATCTCTGCCTGCCATCTCCTGGGCAAGTCCTTGGGAAGCCTGGCCATGGTCTGAATTGGAAAAAAGCCTCCACACCGACAAACTGCATGAGGTATGGTTAATGGCTACAGAGACAATGACTACGAGGGAGAAACAGAATCTGCACTGTGGGCTCGTGGCATCACTGAAGAGTTCATCCAAAGCTGTCAAAGACGGGATCTTGTTTGCTGCCAGACACTCAGGAGCCTGCAAAAGTCTCTGCTTTGGTGCCCACCCTGAAGAACAGGGTCACATTAGAGATAGCCTTGATACTGCTCTTGCCCCAGAGCCATAGCAAGGATGGTGGGTAGAGCATGTAGCAGAGTGCTTTGATTGCCTCTGGGAGAGTACACGTTCAGGAAATATGAGAAGGGAAACAAATTGGACTCATGCCCTGTTCTGATTCTTTGTGTATGAGAGGCTGGAAGTGTTTTGTTTTCTGCTTTTTCTTACTCAAAAAAAAAAAAAAAAAAATCAAACATGTTTTTTGGCAGAGGTCTCCTCGGAATATCTAGAGAAGTGGAGTGGGAGGTTTTGCAGCTTCTAGGGAAAGGGAGAGAGGAGGAGGTGTTGAACTGCAAAGATTTTTCTCTTCCAACTGTTGGTTAGGAGAGGAGTTAGATAAATGTTAGCTAAATACAGACTGCTTAAAACACTCTGTAGGAAAAGCAATTCTACTCTAAATTCGTCAGCTTTTACTTGCACTGTCATAATACTATTAGTTCTCCACTGAAGAAAAAACAAACAGGGTAGACAAGACCTGAATTGCTAATGTAAAAACAAGAAAGAAAACAATTTTTCTACCATCCTTGCACAACAAAGATGTTGACTGAGTGCCCACTTCTCCTTAGCTTTGCACATTCTTTGCTACTTCTTCCTCTTACTGTAAGAAAAAAAGTGCATGGGACTTACGTTTTATTGCGGTGCAAGATTCCTCAACCCTCCTCACACTCAGCATGCACAGCGCCAGGGGGATTTCTGACATTGACAGTGGCAGGGGTCTAGGAGATACAAGCATAGAGGCCAAGCAAAACTGCTTTCTCAGATCAAGAAATGGAGATGAGGACTGGAGCCTTTGGATGAGCTGACAACTCAACCTGTCAGAAGATACTTCTCAGGTGGAAGAAGGAGCATGCTGGCAGCTATTTTGAGCCTTGGACCACTTAGTGGACCCCTGCTGTCTGATCCTAACCAAACTATCTTGGCCAGAAGTTAGAAACTTGAAGAGAAAGCCTGGAACAACAAACCTATTACAGATAGGTTTCCAGAACATACCTACAGAGAGTCCAGCTGGAAAAGCAGCTTGAGTCATAGGCAAGATGGAGAGAGCAGTGATCTGCTCAGCATGATTTGAGTGCAGACAGCCAGGAGTAGGTTGCAGTAAATTGAAGAACAAGGAAGTGATGAACCTCTGAGGCATGCTGGCTGGAGGGAGACACTGCTCTGCTCCCAAGTAAAACACTGTGCAAGAAAAAGACCAGCAATAGGGGCAAGGTTCTTGACATGGATTATGCTGTTGAAAATCATTCAGCACTACCCTTAAACAAGAAGGTGCAGTGAAGATGACAGACAAGTGCTATCATCATAGAATGCTTTGGGTTGGAAAGGACCTTAAAGATCATCTAGCTTCAGACCCTCTGCCATGGGCAAGGACACTTTCCACTAGACAAGGTTGCTCAAGGCCCCGTCCAGCCTGGTTTTGAACACTTCCATGGATGAGTCATCCACACCTTCTCTGGGCAACTGTTCCAGTGTCTCACCACCCTCACACTGAAGAATTTCTTTTTAATAGCTAATCTAAATCTCCCTCTGTTATCTTAAAGCAATTCCCCCTTGTACTGTCACTACACGCCCTTGCAAAAAGCCCTTCTCCAGCTTTCTTTTAGGCCACTTTTAGGTACTGGAAGGCTGCTATAAGGTCTCCCCAGAGCTTCTCTTCTCCAGATTGAACAAGCCCAACTCTCTCAGTCTGTATTCATGGGAGAGGTGCTACAGCCTTCTGATCATCTTAGTGGTCTCCTCTGGACTTGCTCCAACATCATGTCGTCAAAGAATTTGTTACAGCAAGGTTATAATACCAAACCATTCACAGGTAAGGTGACTGTGCAAGTAGGGATAGATAAGGATGAAATAAGTAACATCAATGGGCCACAGAGAACTGTTTCACACATTAGAAATAAAGACAGGAACTATGTCAGCAAGTGAAATTGAAAGTGAGACATGTATTACCAGGTAAACTTTCTCATAACTGTAAAGAGCTTGTGTGAGCATATACGGCAGATCTGGACAATGTGGTCAGGAATACAAATGCTTCTCTCTCCCTTCCCTAACCTCGTAATCTTATGTCCTGGGTTCAGCTGTAGCAGTCATTTTTCTCCTTCTTAGTACCCGGTGCAGTGCTGCGTTTTTGACTTTCCGCCTGGGAACAGAGCTGATAACACTGACGTTTTTAGTTGCTGCTCAGGAATGTTTACCCTGACCAAGGACTTTGTGAGCCTCATGCTCTGCCAGGGAGGAGGGGAAGCCGGGAGGAAGCAGAGACAGGACACCTGACCCAAACTGACCAAAGAGGTATTCCATACCACAGCACATCATGCCCAGTATATAAACTGGGAGCAGTTACCCGGGAGGGTTAGATCACTGCTCGGTCGGACAGGGTGTCGGTTGGAGGGTGGTGAGCGGGTGTATTCTCTTCCCTTGTTATTTCCCTTATCATTATTATTATTGGCGGTAGCAGCAGTGATTTGTGTTATACCTTAGTTACTGGACTGTTCTTATCTCAACCTGTGGGAGTTACATTCTTTTGATTCTCCTTCCCATCCGCCTGGGAGCAGGTGGGGAGGAAGGGGGAGGTTGTGAGAGAGCGACTGCGTGGCTGACTGAGTTGAAACCACGACATCTTACTGAAAAGAAAACCACCACCAAACAAACAACCACACCCAAAAAAAAACCAAAACCAAAAATTCTAAGACATACGAGAGAACTTGAACTTCAACCCTCAAAGAACTCATCCATGTGGGATCCAGTTCTCGACAATGTATGCCACACACACACGTGAATATTGCAGTTTTGTGATTTCCTGAGGATAGAAGGTAAAAGGTAAAAATTACATCTAAATACAATAAGAGAAGACCTCATGAAAATAAACAGGCTGCTCTAAACATCCTCACTAGTAATAGGTAGGGGAAAAAGACTAAGGAAAAGGGTTCCAGTCTGATCCTGCAAAAGATCAGCTGTAGGAAAGAACTAAACGTTATTGACAGGCTTCCGCAGGAGTGTGAGGTGCCAGAGACCTACAGGTGAATCAGTTGCAACTAGAGTGACTCAATCAAAACTGACAGGGAAATAGTCTCTCTAGCTTTGAAGAATAAAGAAAACATTAAGTGGAACTTTTTATACATTATGTTGAATAGATATTACTTGAAATAAAATTCACCTTTATCAGCATAAAGGTAGAATTTTATATTAATCACAAGCAAATATCAGCTTAGGGGATTTCAAAGCAGTTGTTAAAGACTCACGGAGTCTTTAACACCAGGATAAAACTCCTGCCATTTTCTTTCAGCAGCTCTGCAAAGAAAGCTTCAAAACAAAGCTCCATCACTTCAGCTGAGCCTGGGAAAGGAACCTACTCCTAGCAATTCCCTAAGGATGGGGAAAAAAGCACTGAAGATTTCCTCAGCGGATTTAAACTACTGTAACAATCAGGATGTAAACATGCTGTTGCTTGTTACAATTCTTTTTGCATAACAGCACTACGCAGAGCCCACAACACTGTCAGGAACAAGCTTCCAATGCAACTTAGGTTTTGTCCTATTCTTGCATTGACAATATTTTCCACATGATTTAAATTAATGGAAGAATAGCAGCTATCCTGTCTGTATTATATTGGCTTTCAGAAAGTCTTTGATAGGGCAGACAGAGACTTGCCACAGCAGATATTTTCTAACACCAGAACAGTCACACAGATTCACACTGAAAGTCCATCTAGCCCTGTGTTCTGGCTCCAACAGCAGTGAACAAGAGACGCTGAGGGAAAGAACACAGGTATGGAGCATGCATACAGTGAATCCCTCCCCACCTCCATGCATACTTACTTCATTCCCCACCCCAAACATCTGTGATTTAAGGTCCTACTGAAACAGGAGATCATCATAATATTTAATTGCCCTCAGTGGATTTCCACTTTCCTTGACTATCTATCACTTGTGAATCTTAAAATACGAGGGGGAAAAAGTCAGCATGTCTTCATACTATCTCCTAGAAACAAGATCCTTGAGAATTTCTGATGCATGTGCTTACCTAGGCAGCAGTTTTCCTTAAACTGGTGGCTTCATCCACAGTGGATAGCACTTTTTTTGCAGGATCAAAAAAAGCTGCAGCTCTCTAGCAATAGCGCACTAAGCATAGGTCAGAGTCTTAGAAGAGAGGTGAGTCCAGCCAAAAGCAGTTAAATTGCTTTTATCGGGAATGCTTGCAGCAGATGTTCAGAATAAAATGGCCAGACAATGAAAACTGCTGAGATATTATACTGCACAAGTCCACAGGCAGCTGTACAAACAGTACAGAAGAATTGTCTTTGGTATGTCCTACAAAAGCTGGGCAACAGGATCTCTAAACTGTGTTATAGGCAACCCTCAAATGACACCAGCCTAGCATGATCCCTGCAATCTAAAAACAACTACAGCAATGATTTTATAAGGGAGCTGTTTGAGAAAATTAAAAGCATTTGTTCATTATGACATTTGTCCCTGCTGTCTGGCAGGGACAAGCTCTGCCTCCTGCACCTGGCAGGCAAGATGTGTGTCACAATGACCAGAGGTTGGATTTGAGTTTACTGGGAGCATCAGGACCAAACTGATCTCAAGTACCATGATCCCTGCAGTATGAGCAAGGCCCTTACATGCTGCCTGAACTTTCTGGCATGCTATAGCCTCCTCATTACAGCTTTTGGTCTTTGAGATGCTCCAGGCCTGTGTCGCATCTCATGACATTCAGCATTTGTGATACTGTAATTAGAAAGGGTCTCAGCTGTTCATGCAGCTGACCAAAAGGGCTAATTTTATTTTAAGAAATGCATTAAGTGTGATCTTAAACAGCCACCTCTTTGCCTCTAAATTGGTGCAATGGCATCATGTGTCATTACTTTGATTTGTGTCTTACAGTGTAGCATTACCCTTAGGAAAGCAAACAGAGACAAGTTTTAAAACATTTTCTATTGCAGGCTTATATAACTTCACAAGATAACATTGTTTACAGACTTGTAAGCTTTTCAGTAGCAGTCCAAAATTATTGTCTTTCAATATCACCTGACCTGAAGGAGACTTGCCAGTTTCCATCACCCAGGAAATCTGTTCCTTAGGCTCATTCACAGAACATTTTGAGCATCTTTAGCAAAACATTGGCTTGAAAAAAAAATAGGAGTTGTTGTTCTGAAATAAACTCAAAAGTAAGTGCATAGACAGTAAGCAAAATTCCAGGATAACTTCATTTTCATGGGATGCACAGGCACCAAAATACCCATAACTTGACATTTCAGCATCTTTGTGCCCCTGATACAAAGCAAAATAGAAAGTCTTGTTTCTCTGCAAAAGGTCCCAGAGATGATCAATGAACAGTCAGTGCTACTGGTCCTCTGCAATGGCCTGAACAGCATGTAAATCAAAATGGCTCCAGTACAAAGCCCAAGTTGTTGTGTTATTGATTTGGGATTTGTTTTTTGGGGATTGGGTTTGGTTGGGTTTTTTTTTTGTCCCTGAGGAATAAGACCTCCCTCTAAATTAAGCACAGAGAGTGCTTGATGCGGTGCTTCTTCCTAGCAGCCATACAGTCAGAAACCTACTGTGGTCACATCTCTGTTGTCACTTTTACAAATACTTGGTAGAGAGGGAAATAATTGCTTGAGACTCTAGAGCAAAAGCTGCTAGACGGCAGACCTTAAAGCCCAGTTGTGGAAGCTTGAGGCCTCTTTACACAGCCTGACATGAAGGACCCAGCAGACCCCTGCACAGCAGCTCTCTTCATACAAGCACATATACAACAACCTGACAGTCAAGGGATGCAGCTAAGCCCTTGCCATCTCTAAAGCACTTCAGTGATTCAGAATCTGCATTTCCAGTAGTGCCAACCCCAAGGGATGGAAACATTATTAGTTCTGAGAAAATCTGCAGATTAAACACTAAAACCAGACTTCTAGTGGTCTTGTCTAACAACTTCAGCTTACCCCAGGGAAGACGCTTCCCATGCTGAGGAGTCCTGCTGGACCACTGCATTAACACAATAGTGTGCAGGCTCATGCTAGAGTAATTTCCTCAGCCAAGTCCCTCTGCTCTGTCTGCCCTCTCACACAGGAGTTTTTAGTAGCTTTGTGCACTCATACTTACCCACACTCAACTCCAGTTCTCCTCCCCTCCAGCTTCCCCTGACCTCCAGAAGGTCAGAGGAGCATCACTCACCAGGGAACAAGCAGCACCAGCAACTCACCTCACTTTAACACTACCCCAAACCACAGATTTAAGGCCTCCAAGACACCTCTTGCTTGGCTTGCTTTCGTAATACTGCACACAGCTGTGATGAAAACAGCATTCCTAGCACTCACTGTAGTTAAGTTTTGTCAGCTCTCATGCTTCAGGTGGAAATCATCAGCTGACAATCAATGTTTATTTATCATTAACATTGATTAAAAAAGCAACCCTAAGGAGCTTTCAGTGACACAAGAACAGTTGTGAAGGGATTTTACCTGCTCTATATCACAACTTCCAAAAATAGTGTGTCTTTAATGACTCCTTTGCAGTGGAGCCCTTTGCTGCCTGCTGTTGGCTATGCTGCAGTGTTTTACATATGTCCTAGGCAAAGAGAAGAACTTGCTGGGACAAAACGAAGTGTGAAGTCCCTTGGAGGGGCTGTTCCACGGGTCACCTGCAGAGCAGAAGTCCCTGCCAGCACATCACCATCACATCAGCAGATTGCCTCCATCCCCAGGGTGTGATACCTCCCTCACCACCTCCTTCTGCAGCAGCGGTTGCCCGTGGCCTTTTCCCTGTCCTGTGCAAGACAACTCACAGAACAGCGAGTCAAGTTTCCTCGTGTTTGCCTCCCCCGTCATCACTTTGAGTCACCTCATGGAGGGTGCGTGGTGCCTCCGAGCGCTGCAGTGACACACTAAGCCCCAGCACCGCAGCCAGGAGCACCGAGGATTGCTCATGAACAGTGAAGAAGAGGCACCATGACACACACAAGTCACGATTTTTTAACTTGCATTACTACGTGCTCCTCACAAAAGAAAAGTAAAACACACTCTCCATTGTCTCCTTTTTAAGCCCACACTTGTCTCAAGGTAGCCAAACCCACACCATCGCCAGTATACAAGTGGTGCCCCAAGGCTGTTTCCCACTTCTGCTTGATGCTTCCCACACATATGCTGCGGACCCTTGCTCCCACTCTGTGTGTGTGATCACTCCCCACGGGGCTATGTCCAGGACCACAAGACAGGAGCCCCTCACAAACACCTCTGGTGAGGAGTCAAGTGCTGGAGGGTTTGAAACCCATGCAAGGCTGCACATGAAGCCTGATCACCCTGCATTTACAAAGGTCATCTGGAAACTCTGAGGCAACTCTCAGAAAACCCTGCTTTCTTTCAGAGACAAGATAAAGCAAAAAAAAAACTTTGTGCAGTAGCTGCTTTGCCTTTTGATAACCTGTTACTCCAGCACAGACAGTAAAGATAAAGGGAGCCATGTGGGGAAGACTTTTGTGCTGGAGAGTATTTCTGAGTCACTGATCAGTGAAGGAAGTAAAGTGCCTTAGAGCTTCTTGCTCACTTAAAGAAAAAAAAAAAAAGGATCATTGATTTTACCAGGCCTCCCCCTAGGCAAAGCAGTTACCTAAAGTACAATATACTTTTATTGTGCCACGGGGAACTGGATGCAAACATTTATAAATCTTCCTTTGAGGAGGTTATCACTCAGCCATTATAAATAGCTTTGTGAGATACGAAAATTCTTAAAACCAGACAAGACTCATATTCAAAAGAGCCCACGTTTGGAAATGGACCCCATGCTCTCCCTCATGGATGATGCTTTCCTCCCCAAAAGGAGGCTGAGGTTAAATTGTGCCCCACTAGACTCTCAGTGTTATCATGTGGACCAGTCCTGCTGCAGCAAAAGAGCAGAGCAGAACCCAGGCATCTGTGTGATCCCCAAGGGCAGAGTGTAGGAAACAGCTCCCCACCTTGTTTCCACTGAATGCTGGGGCAGGCAGAAATGCAGAGGCTCAAAGCTCCTGGAGCCCTGTGAGATGAGCTGCTGGCCACTCCTAACAGGAACAGAGCCTACTCATTTAAAAATCACTCGGGTATCTCTGCATCCACTGTGTTCTCTTCAGGATTGCAAAGCTAGCATACCATGAGCAAGATGCAGCTTTCATTAGCAAGGTGCTGCTGCTAAGGCAGCAGCAGTCTAAGGATGCAAGAAAGGTAAGGAGTGCAGGAAGATATATTTTTTATTGTAGCAGCTGGTGTGTTGGAAGAACTGGACAAACTCTGCCCCAGAAAGGGTTTGGGTGCCCTACAACTAGTCTTTTTTGCAGTTGTGTTAATTTATCAAACAAGGCTGGAGCCCGCAGAGGCTGTGGAGAACACAAAGTACGCAATCTGTTCAGTACTGTTGAACTGCACTGAATTAAAATCAGTGTCACTAAAGCAGTATACCTCGCTTTTCAGGCCCCATGGTAATTAAAAAGTGTCTTTTGAAACAATTTTCTCCTGCACACCAATGGAAACATTCTCTGTCTCTTCCAGTACAGGAATTAGGGGCAGAAAGTGAAGCCTGCTTCAAAGTGGAGCCCACCTTCAACACAAGCAGAAGAAAAAGGTTCTTCAGTGAGCAGGTGGTCATGTGGGCCTCCTTACTTCATGATGTTTTGGATGGTAGAAATTTGCATGCATTCAAGAGGAAGCTGAAGACATTCCTGGAATATAAACCTGCTGAGTGCTGCTACATACATGCTGCAGACCATGGTTAGCCCAGGAAGCCCCTGAGCCAAAAAGGGTTGGAGGCTGGAGGAGTACCTGGTAGATCTGTTTTATTCTTACTTTTCTTTGTGTACCTGTTTATGATGCTTTCAGAGATTGGGTGCTGAGCTAGATGGACCTACGGCCAGAATTGGTATTGCCAGATTGGTGCTATTTTAAATCAAGCCATTCTGATCCAAATCCTCTTTACACCAGTATGAGAGTGTCTGTTCATTGGGACCAAAATAAACTACGTGGGACCAGTGTAAAGGAAGGGCTGAGGGATGCAGGAATCTAAAACAAGAAGTGAGAAGAGAAGCCAGCTCCTAGCAGAGGCCGTGCCACAGAAAGCAGAGTTT